CCATCTCCGGGGCTCCTCTGGCCCCGCTCCAGCAGCTCCGTGTCTGTCCTGTGCTGAGGACCCCAGAGCTGGGGGCAGCACTGCAGGGGGGTCACCAGAGCGGAGCAGAGGGGGACAGTCCCCTCCCTCGCCCTGCTGCTCACGCTGCTGGGGATGCCCCAGGACGCGGTTGGTTTCTGGGCTCCAGCGCACATTGCCGGCTCATGTTGAGCTTCTCATCCCCCAGCACCCCCAAGTCCTTCTCCTCAGGGCTGCTCCCCATCCATTCTCTGCCATTTTCCATGGTTTCCTTTCTTCCACTCGGTCTTCCTCCACGTCCTTATCCCAACTCCTGCATGACAGCTCCCAATTTTGTGCCAGACAGAAACAAGAGAGAAAGGTCAGGGCAGGGCGAGAGCCAAGGCATCTGCCCCTCGTGTGCAGCACGGGGGGGAAGGACGAGGCACAAGGCATCTGGCTGGACCCCGGCATGGCCAGTGCTGGCAGACACTGTCCTGTGCGGGTGTTTGAGGTGCTGCAGGATTAACGTGGGGACCAGGGCTGTACAACAAAGCTGAAACCATCGCACAGAGCTGTTCATAGAGAGTGTTGCCTTCAGCCACTGAAAGGACATCCTGACATTTTATCTTGCAGCCAGCAGCTCCCTGACTACTTGGGGAATTATGTGTATTCCCCAGACAGTGCAAGTTGAAGAAACTTCGATTGCTATAGCAGTCTGTATAATATTTCTGCTGCATCTACCCTCAGGAGGACTTACATTTCCATACCATTACCCTGATTCCTATTCATAAAGCTCAACACGAACCGTACAGAGAATTACCGATCATTTCTTGCTCTGCAGCTCAGCAACGTTGCCCATCACCCTGAAGTGTCTCCTGGAAAACAACGGAATAGACAGACGCGTGGCACGATTCGTCCTCCCCGTCGGTGCCACCATCAATATGGACGGCACGGCGCTGTACGAAGCGGTCGCTGCTATCTTTATTGCCCAGGTCAATGAATACGACTTGGATTTGGGACAAATTATAACGATAAGGTAAATGTTTCATTGCAGCAGCTGAATTATTTCTCTCTATTCATATTTACAGACATTACAACAATCTCTCACACTTTTCCCCTTTGGTAGAGATCTTGCTACTGCACAGAGTGAACTTTGCTGCAAAGCCGAGGAGGAGGGAAAGGTGCAGCATCTACCAGCCCCTGGGCTGTGCCCCAGGGAAAGCTTGGGCTCTGCACCCCCAGAATTTGCTGCAGAGTCAAGACTTTGCCTGTAGGTAAAAGCCAGACTGCGAACCAGCAGCTCAGCTAGAGCAGGTCAACACCTGCAGCCTGGATGAGATATCTGAGCACACAAGGGTTGTGCAGGCATAATTCCCTTCAGGAATGGAACATCCTCAGTTTATAAGCAGGGAAATAAAGCACCTATCTAGATTAAAACAGAGCTGCAGATACATTGCAATTCTATGCAGAAGTTACCTACACGGGAGTGCAGAGGGGTGTTGTTGAGCTCAAAGCCAGGGCAGCTGCTGCAAGCCCAGGCAGGCGTTCAGGACAGCACCAGGGAGCAGGAAGGTGGAGGAAGCCAGATCCAATCCAGTCGTTCCATACAGGAATGACTTACTTTGCCATGCAAACACACTTGCTTTATTTTTTTTTTTTCTTTAAAAAAAAAACCCAAACCACATAATAATTGCACGGCCACCTTCTCTTTGCAGCATAACAGCAACAGCAGCAAGCATCGGGGCGGCCGGCATCCCACAGTCCGGACTCGTCACGATGGTCATCGTGCTAACTTCTGTTGGGCTGCCAACTGACGATATCACACTCATCATCGCCGTTGACTGGGCTTTGTGAGTATTTTCCAGACACAACGTTACGGGCGGGTGCTCGGGGCCGATTCTCAGTGACGCACTCGAAGCAGCTCTCGTGGGGGCAAACAGAGATGAAGGGATCACAGGAGCCAAGTGTGAGATTCTTCATTTTCCAACTATTTTCCTGAAACAGCCCATGATTGCTATAGACTAGCAGTCTCCCACAGGAGTGTTTGCCTTGAGGCGCTTCTGTCCCGAGGTGCCCAGCGCTGTCCAGTGCCTCGTTAAGGACGATACGTGGAAGCAGCGGTGATGGCACCCAGCCACTCTCTCAAGTCCCAGTCTGAAATACCAGCTTGTCCTGAGCTTTTATCTAAACTCCTACCTGATTGTACAACACATCTTTGTTGGAGATCTCAAATAAGCACCAAAATCTATCTTTCTGCAATATATATAAATTTATACTTCTAAGAGATCAAAAAGATGCTACTTTCCTCCAAAGCGAGAGGTAGAAAAGGAGGAAAGTAGGTGCAGAGTCGTCTTGCAGAAGCATCGCTGTGCAAGGCTGCTAGTTAACGCGTTCCCTAGAAATACCCCAAGTCCTGGTCTTCTCCGAGCTGTCCACTCTGTGAACAAAGGAGGACGGACAGCACAAGAGTAAAAGCGAAGAGGCAGTTGGTGCAGTGTTTGTTTCGGTGGAATATTATCCCAGGAAGAGGAGCAAGGTTGGTAAGGCAGGGTCAAAGCTACCTGGCTCCATACAAGTTAAAATTAGCCAGAAAGATGCTAACAACATAAGAAAGCAACAAAAGCAGTGGGAACATGCAATTGTGTAGGAAAAAAGCATGATCTCCAGGAAAAAAAAAATCAATCAGAGAAACCAAGAATAAACTATAAACCACTGGTAATTATTTACAATATGTGCTCATACAGTTTGCTTTTCTAATTTTGAAACCTGGGCATTTTCACAATTAAGAAGTAGGAAGGAGAGAAATAGATGTCACATCAAAACACTAACAAGGTAACACAGGTGTTGGTTGCATACCAAATCACAGCAGAAAATAAGACAGTCCGTTCTTGACCAGATGTAGCAAAACCCCCTCTTGCATTTAATAAGCAACTCCTCTCTCAAACCCTTAAGTCATCAGAACTAAAACATCACTGGAATTTCTAGAAGTAAGGATGACATATTCAAAGCATTGCCATCCAACACAAAGAAGTTTATCTTCCAACGAGATCGTCGTCATCTTGACAGATGAAGACCAGATCTTGAGACAAAAACTGATGCTCGATTCCCTTTGTCACTGACAAACAGAAGCCAAACGCAGGCAGTTTGTGAAATGTGCCATTTCGAAGTACTGAGATAAAAATGGAGCTGGGTGGAAAAAGAGAGTAATGTCAGCTTCTCCGTAACTGACACAGAGGTTGCTGATTTGTACTTCACAGCCACCCTGGCCAGGGAGGAAACAGCATCGAGTATCCTGGCTGCTTTTCTCTTTCTTTCACATAAAAGGAGCTTAACTTCTCAGGTGGAAGTTGTACTATTGGAACACAACGTGAGTTCAGTCTTTGAGCATCACAGGGTACCCAGCACCATCCCCTGCTGCCATGCGCTGGATAGAGCGGGGAGCTGGGGATGGATACACAAGATTTGCTCCCTAAGAGGCATCTCAAGGAGGTCTGCGACTCTCTGAGGCAGCTCATCCCCACCCTGAGCACAAACGCTGACGGTGCATCAGTCTGGGAGGCAGCACAGGCAGGACCGGACCAAAGCAGCCCCACTGCCGTCACGGTACTGGGCTCACACGGACACTACACGAACCATTTTATCTCTGTATTTGCAAGGATACTGCACTTGGCTCAACTTGACATTAGCAAAACCAGGGGTAGAGACACATCAGGAGGAGGCTGACATGTTTCAAAGCCACAAGAGACCCCGGGCACGGTGGCTGTGGCCCCCAACTGCATCCTCACAACTCTCTCTCATCTAGGGACCGTTTCCGAACTATGACCAACGTCCTTGGTGATGCTCTGGCTGCTGGCATCATAGCACACGTCTGCAGGAAGGACTTTGCCCCAAAGCCCCCCATGGTACGTACAGCTTGGCGGGAGGGCAGGGGAACTCTGGACGTGGAATGACGGCACAGACACAACGCACGTGCTTGCTTAAGAAATTAAAATTGTATTTTTTCTTTTTTGCAGCAAGATCCAGTAAGCACCACAGCCAAGTTGCCTTCTGTAGAGACGCCACATCTGCATCCCAAAGATAATGTGATCGAAATGATTGAAGAGACTTTGTTTGACCAGACAGGAGTTCACTATAA